TTTTGAGAATCAACTGGAAGGGATTGTCCGCAGTCCCCTTGGTTCATTGGGGTCACTGCCACAGTGCCATAATCATTGTTTGCTAGCACTCATCCACTCCGTGTATGTCATAATATGCCTAGATTGAGGGAACAAGGTGGTTGAAAAGGGATACATGTGGGATCATCTGGGCATATTCCATTGGGGCTGGGTGTGGTTCTTAGCATCAAACACACACATACACCTAGTATTTCATGTACACATCTGACACCTACACACCTACACACCTACACACACACACACACACCCAGCCGCCATGCCCTGGTCACACACCCTCCGTTCGGTCCCGGTCCGGCCCAAGGAGTCACATCTTGGGACCCGACTTGGCAGCTTGGAGGGGAGGGATGGACCACGGAGACGGCAGGACAGGCTGCGCCACGAGGGGATCCACTGGGCGTTCGCCTGGGCGCAGGAAGAAAGGACGGTTTCGTAGAGAAGGAGCAGTTTGATCAGCTGATCTGGGGCAGGACATGGTTGTGACTTAGAGATTTCCCGATATTTCCCAGAGCCATGACGATGGATATCAATCTGACAGAAAGGTCTTAACTATAACATGATATGACATGTGTTTTCCTTGTTGTTCTTTGGAATCATTCTGCACATTTCAGGCAACTGCTTTGATCAAGTATTGGTGCCGGGAGGCCCTCCCGAAGTTTGAGGCGACGACCGGGGACCTCGCACCGTGGGAAAACCGCCAACTTCCAGGGCCCGACCATTGGGGGTCTATGCTTTGTATGGTCAACTCGTCCGACTGGAACATCTGGAATCACCCTTGCACTCCCGACATGGGAACTGCCTGGATGCCCTGAAAACTCACTCACATGACATGGAAGTAAGTGGAACATGGTTTTTTGAAAGACTACTTTCCTTTATAAACAGCCTAGGGGATGTTCAACTTCCATGTGATGCGTTCGTCGGAGTGTACCCTGGGAATGTATGGAATGCTCATAAACTTCAGAAGGTGACGCTTGGCTTCGCCCTCTTCGGTTTTTGGGGTTCAATTCTCGAGGTGCCGGAACAGGGTCGTTGATGGTCATTGATTTGTAACAGACAACTAGAATGCTTTGGAACAGCCAGGGGGATTCTGCCATAGTCTGCAAATGATATCCAAATCACTGGAGAGTTTCGACAATGAAAGAAGTTTTATATAGTTCACCCTGTATGCCGGATCCTGCAACCCCGGATTATGTTTTGCATGTACATTGTGTTATAATTTCAATGTATTTCGACTCGACTCATTTCCATAATAGTCCAAGACATCTTTTTTGGGGGGGGGGCAACCTTGCCCTGGCCATTGGGCATGCAATGCTGATGGGCGATGTTCATTGACCAGCTGTGGTAGTCTACTAGATTCTCCATAGCAATAGGAAGAACCATTGGTGACCTGGTAGTCAGATGTAGTCAGAGTGCTATTATTTTATGATTGTTTGATTCTGTTTGTGTGTGATTCTGTTCCACTCTTGACCCGCCAGCTTCGTTGGTGTTTCTTCGTTGCTCGTTTTTTCAACGTCTTGACCAACGTGCGCGTGTGGCTGTGGAGGTCATGGTGGGCTTTGACCCAGACCTGCATGATGATCCAAGGCTTCTAGGCAATGCTGAGTTGCATGAGACGTGACATTCCAAAAGACACAGCATCGACGGTTCTCTTGTTTGCTGTTCTTTGTGGGCTCGGAGACAAGCTTCGCATGCTGTCTGAAGTGACGTTGGACTACCAGTGTCTTGACCAGGTCGAGCCCCAAAGAACCATTGTACTGTACAGTGGGAGCGTGTGTGAGGACGGGACATCTGAGACTCATACTTGCATCCCTTGAGTTCGTTCAACGCTGGTGCTTGGGACGGCCCTGCGAAGCCAGGGAAGTCCCACCACATGCGGATCATTGCCACCCGGATGCGCGGCGCGGACGCGGAACGACATCGCTGCAGGTTGAACCACATCGCCCTGGTCGATTGATGGCGTGGATCTAGGGCCTAGGGTTCATGTACGTGGTTTCGAAAAGCCCCTTTTGGAACCGTCCGAGAAATCAACGTCAGACTGCTTTGGTGGATCGTCTTGGATGGTCCGGAAGAAATTATCATGGTCTCACTGGACAGGTTTTTTTTGTTTTTGCCTGCGCTCAGTTGAACTACATACCCAAGGGCTAGAAATCCAACCACGTGTTTTTGTTTTGTTCAAGTATCTTTACGAAACAGCCGTTCGTTTCACAAAGGATTTTAGATTCAAAAGCCAGGTCAACCCTGAAATACCTTAACTCCTTGAATGGTCGAGTCTATCCTGGTCGCAGCAAGCGAGACCATGCGCACGTCACAGGTCATGTTCTGTTTCGGTAGACCCTCGACCTGGGACAACCCGTTCCGGTGGATGACCCAGCTCTTCGGTTGAGGATTGGAGCCGATGTTCTGAAGGATCAGACTCGATGTTGAACAAACAACATGGTTCTTTTGCTAGGGAAAACCATGTTTTTGATGGGCCATGTGGGTGCCCCCTGGTATGCATTATGGCTATTCTGCATGCAAAGTCTACTTTCTAGATCTTGACTGCGCATGAAGACTGGCTCAGGCTGAGCACTACCAAGTGCCGTTTGAGGAGATGCTCCTCATTGATGACAGTGTCACCCGGCAGTCCGAGAAACACGGTGACTCCGAAGTGTTGCAAGTGGGGGTCAAGAATCAAGAATCAGGTGGTGGAGTGAGGGACCCTTGAAGCGATTGAACCCTGGATGCGAAGGAAGACTTATAACTATAACTATAACAACATGATACTTTATAATATTTTATAATGTTGCTGTATGTGTCATTAGAGACATTGCATGTCCTCCTTGTTCTGAATGAATGATAGGCAGTGTGTACCTCTTGTTTGGTACCTCTTCTTGCCTCCATGCGAATTCTCCAGGGCCCCAGTCACCTGGAGAATCCGCAATCCATCAGGCTCGGAACCTGCGAAATACCGATGGCTGGCAAGGAGCGCGAGAACGGTCCGCACCGCGCACGTCGCTTCTGGGGGGTTTTCTTTCGACTCCGAAGCCTGTGACGGCACGGCAGGGTCGTTTGACACGTTTGAGCGAAGAACTGCGGGGCAGCGCGAGAACGGCCGTACGGGGCGTCCACTTGTCCTTCTTTCCTGAATAGTGATCATGCAGCTCCGTCCTTCTTTTGCATACAGGGCCCCAGCAATTTGATAGGTGTTTGAACAAGTGATGTTGGGCCAAAGTCATCAAGAGAGAACATAAGAGCAGCTATCGATCAACGTGCTCCCAGCATTTATCCTATCCTCTAGCATATGATTGACAAGGAATGGCCATGTATGTCTGAGCTGACTGATGCTTCATATAGTGGTTTGTCCCTACAGTCTAGAGTCTATTAAATGCTGCTCCACTTTCAACCTTTCCGAGTTCCGACAATTTCTTTCGGAACTCAAAGAGGATGGTTGTTCGATAAGACCCTGCAATCAAAGGAACTGAAAGGATTGCTTTGCGAATTGGCGAATTGCTATTCTTGGTCATATAAGCGATCCACCCTACCATTGCTTTTCCATCCACAGTATATATGCCTGAACCCTCCAAAGTACCCTCAAATACAGGACATGTGACATGACTTCATCAAAAGAGGTCCTTGTACCCGCGTTTAGGAATTCTCGGGAGTGCTTTGAGTGATCCTCAATATTTTTGGGTGGGGTGAAACTGCCTGTTTGCGACCAGGGCTTGAAATGCTTTTCTTCGCTTCCCACCCCAAAACCCGACCCTTCATGCTTTGACCGCATTCTCCCGGGCTTTCTCGACGACCTTTGCGGCGCCGCTGCGCTTTGCGCAGCTCCCAGGACTCCTGGTGCGCGAACCCAAAGTCGGCTTCCGCTTCGAAGACTGCCAGAGCTGAGGTCGAAAAGGTCGCCCCCAGGTCGCCAGGGTTTGGATGGGTTTGGATGGGTCAAACATACCCTTTCTATGCCATGCTGCAAGGAGAGGCATGGGGTGCTTTGGTTGGGTCGCTTTGGTGCGGCTTGTTGGGGGGAGTACCAATGTCCAAGACACCTCCAACACCACTTTTTTTTCCTCATCTTTTCCAGGCATAGGTTCTAGCACTTCTGGCCCTGCATAGAGTATGGAAACTTACGAGGGATCAAAGCACTACTGTCACAAGAACCAAAGAGTGTTAGCATTAGAATTTGTTATGTGTTTTTCTTTTCAGAACCAAAGAGTGTTAGTGTTTGAACTTGTTAAAGGCCATTGTGCCAAATTGTTGGATGATTCGCTTCGGGCAGGCGCGTCCTGGTATAAAGATCGCCAGGATGCACCAAAACACAATTAACATCATTGTAGAGGGCCGATCACTCCTGCTGCACCTGTTGCACCACGTGGCTTTTTGTCAACGCATGGGTTCCAGACTCATGGGTTGACGGGGTTCCAACTGGTGAACCACATGGAGAAGACCCTGGATAAACATGATAAAACCTGGGGTTCGCTGGCTGGATGTGAAGTTTTTGACTTGCTTGAGGGAAGGATCCAGGAGGGCCCGGGAATCTGCCTTTTGTAGGCCACTGAAGGCTTCTCTTGCAGGTCCATTTTCGTATTCCTGATGCATCCTACATCCTGGTCAAGTTCGTGGGGACCTTCCAGTCACACATGCCAGCCTTTCCTGAAGGTCCTGAAAGCATGAACACGGAAAACCAGGTTTAGTCGAAGGCGCTCGTAAGAACAGAGATCCTTCCGACTGGATTCCAGCTTTGTTTGAAGCAATCATTCCAGCCAGGCACGTGCAGGGTATATAGTGACTTCTTGTAGAAAGGATAGTGAAAGCATCTTCCTGGAATACAGCAAAACACACCACCTAGCAGCTCTATCCACTACACCTCCTTGATTCTGATGGATCGCCCCACGGTTCATCTTCCAAGTCCTTCCGGAACGCACGGTTCGCTTCCGCCGTATCGAGAGATCCCGCTTCGCCGTCGATCGCGGTTCAGTCCCCAGGTCCCCGGATCTCGGTCATGTCGGAGAGCGAGAAGCGCCACGCCAAGCAGTCGAAGAAGGCCACCGAGACCGGTGCCGGTCCCGGACGCTCCGCCTCTGGACCGGGCGGGTTTGAAGCAAGTGAAGGTTGGAGTTCGGCGGGAGGGACCGGGTGTTCGGAGTTCTGGCGGAGTTCTGGCCGGTGGTGTGTGGGGTCTATAGACATGTGACTTAAGGTGTGCAAGGTGACAAGGTGGGGGAGTCACCTCAGCATCTTCCCCTCGAATCGAATCAGGTTCACTCATGGTAGGCAGCCTGTGCCGTGCTGCCACGTGGAGCGTGTCCATGCGGCGCAGGGAGGTCCCAGACACTTCATGGAAGGTGTGTAAGTATATGGTTACATTGGCCAATCATTGAGGTAGTTGAAACGGGGCTGTCTGGGGCTTGATGCAAATGGATGCGGAGCTTCGTCAGGGGCCCGCACGTCCTTGCCGGAAAGTGTTGCACCAATTCTGATTTTAGAGTGCAGTGGGTAGTCTGAGTACATATACTATAGATATATAGTCGCTAGAAATAGGAGCTATGAGGTCAAATACTTACAACTTACAAGTCCCCACCATGGATTGATCCGCACCTCAGTGATTTAAGCTTTGACATTGAGTCCAATGCCGCGATCGAGCTCCACTTTCGCCCAAGCGAATGATACACATCACTGACTTATGGGGTCTAGACCATGCTTTGGAAGTACTCCAAGACCATCCAAAAAGGAGGTACTTGGAACCTAGAACGTAACAAGAACACAGAATGTCCAAGGGCTGGGATGAGAATTCACAGCATTTTGACTGGAACAACTGGTTTTAATAGGGAACAACATAAAATCAACAAGTCCTGATACTTGTCCTGGAAGCCCAGGCTAATGCAAGTTGGTAGTAGTCATTGCAGATGGACCCCTTAGCCTTGAGCCTTAATTAGTCAAATGTGAAGAAACTCAAGCGTGTTCACAGCGCCCATGTGGAACGATCTATGCAGCGACACAGCACCCGACTCTATGTACAGATTTGCTTTGGAGGCTTTAGGTAGTTTTCGCAACCTAAAGGCAGGTGGTAGCCAATCAGAGTCCGCGGACGGCGGTGCTTGCATAATATTGTTTAGCCGTTTTTTTCCCTTAGCCTTGTTTTTTAGTCTGAATCCCTTAGTACAACAAACAGTTTTCGGCAGGAACCATTACAGTAAATCAATGCTGGTTTCTGCGGATGCTTCTAGGATTTACGTCCAGTGGTGCTCGACAGGCAGCCATACGTGAGAATCGGCCTACAGGAGAGTGGGGATCTCAGCGCGTGGACGATTCACTGCGTCTACAGGCAGTTGCATCGATCGTTAAATCTTTGGTTTGAACATTAGGTAGTTATATAAACTCCCTAGAACTCACATGGAAGTGGACACCCCCCCTGTTTGTAGAGGAAACTCGTTTTCCAGGCCATTTTCCGCTTCAATATTATATAGTTCCAGGGAGTGTAGCGGTGCTTCTGCAAGTCCAATGCTATGCTGAGATGAAGGTTCGTGGGCCATCGCTCCGGCCAGTTGTTGCGACAGTTGAACAAAGCTACATGCAGGAAAGACAGCTTATAGCCTATTAGCAGCGGTTTGTTTCGAGCATTTCATGAAGAACAGTACAGATACCATGGAAGACCCATCCCGGTTGTTCGAAGTGAGCTTTTGATATCATAGGGTCCAGGTCACCTGGGCCTGTAAAAGGTCACTGGCTGGCACTCCAAAGAGGTCACACATGAATCATTAGCAGACAGTCTTTCAGTTTCTCATCATGATCAAGATACATCGATTTGAGGGATGCGTTACTCACATGGAACCCATACAGGAAGCCAACTAGGAAGCACTAATTACTAGCACCACGGAAAGAGGGTGTCCATTAGCCCCAAAAAGAGGTCAAGGGGTGTCCATTAACCACCCCGACTGGGGGTCCAGGTATACATCCATTGCTACCGTTTGGATCCATTTGGTGTTTCAGGCGTTTCTGAGATTTCAGGTCGGTGCCCACAGGTTTGGTCTCTCCCTTCTTAGAAGCTTTGGCATTTTTTTTGCGGCAAGACAAGCACCTGTGTTGTGAATCTCAGGGGTTCTTTGATTTCTTTTACCATGGTTTCATTTGACACGGACTAAACATACTAAAGGAGAGTAGATCAGGGAGGGTGCAGTGAATTTTCTCCAAATCATGTAAAGCCACAGGCGGCCCTCCAAAAAGAAGCGACAACTTCCACTTTCGCACCAGTCTTAAACAATGGATTTTGACCACACCTCATATGGATTCATATAGGATTTTGTGGAATGCGCATCACTTTTTGCTCGGGTAACCACCCCATCCCCAGCTTCCAGGTTGGCCCACATGGCAGCACTCCAGCCGGGATGCCCACACCTGTGAAGACCAGGGGCGATAGATCTCGTCCTCTCATGTCGTGGAGGAGTTCTGAGAAAGAGGGGAGCAGATGTAAGATGGTGTATGATCCTCCTTTTTGATGAAACATGTGCCGGACTTCAATCCGGAACGTGTTCAGCCCGATTTTCCAAACAAAAGCCTAGGACCCTGAAAAAGTGCCGGTCTGAAGGTCTAGGAGTCGCAAAATAAAGAACCTGCTTGTGACACTGAACACGGCTGAGGATTGGAGACTAGGAGTGTCCATGGTCAACTTATTGCTCCAAAGCACCACCTCTTTGGACGTACAGTAAGCAGAGTAGATGGCACTGGCATCCCTGGTGGTTGGGTGGTTTATATGGACCCCCCATCTGTCGACAGACATCTAAAAGACATGTGCCATCTAAAATCACAGTATAGAAGAAGCTGTTTGTTCTCTTGACATATGTTGCTTCTTGACCATGCTGCCCATGTCCTTGCATGTGGTGCACATGGTGCACACCCACTTGTGAACCAACTGGCTGGTCAGGTACCATGCGCAGTACCTTTCTTCTTAGCACGGTCGTTGCCACATCAGACTCTACCTTTCCTGTGACCTTAAGTCGGTCGCACCAGCCGGAGAAAAGGTCACCTCCAAGTCACCTGGAAAAACGGGAGCTGAAGAGATGTTTTTCATGTACTATTTTGATCATATAAGATCATTGACATAATAGTAAAAGTGAGATGGTCATTATAATGTAACTAGCTGAAGTAATAGTAATTAGTCCATTATTAGTAGCTGAAGTCATGTACTAATTATCATAAATGGAACCACTACTGTAGTATTTCGGATAGACTGTAGCCCCTCAAGGTGGGCTACACCTTCGTTGGGCTCCCCGAAGGTGTCAAGACCCAGGAAGACTCACATGGAAGTGGAGTGCACCACCGGGCTGGCTGAAACGAAAAAGAGAGTGGTTGAGGTCGTGGAACACCAGCTGATGGAGCCTGGGAAGTGACCCGTGGCTTCCACCATATTCCGACGACCAAGCCACTCCCAGTGGATCCCAGTTACCACTCTTTGGAACCAGGGATTGTAAGTGTATGGTTTTAGTCTTTGGAACCACTGGTTACCAGCTATATTAGTGGTAACACGTGGTAACTGGATCCCCTGGTACTGGTTTGGGGGTTCCATGTGGTTCGAATAGCAGGGAAGTAGGTCCTGGACATCGCAGACAGCTCCGAGGTTACTGGCCACTCTGACTGACGAGCCCGCAGCGGCTCAGCCAATCGATCAGTGATGGCTTGCGCCTGGACCTTTCGTTCCCTACTAAGTGACCTGTCAAATTGACGGCATGTTAACGTGGCCTCATCCTATCCCAAGTTCGGCCTTTTCTGAAGGTGGTGGAGGACCTTGGGAATTCGGGATGCTTGCCCCCGGCCGACGTTTGCGACGTGTCCTCGACGTGGCCGCAGAGACTTGTGATTTGTCAGCGAAGCCAAAGCCTCAAAGCCAAGTGATTCGTCAGTCGTCCTTCCAGTTCCCCGTGTGGTAGCCTCACCTCTATAGTGTCTGACCTGGAATCCAAACATGACCCTTGTGTTGACCTGGACCCAACTCCTATATTTGAGGAGTACCAAGTGGTCCAAATCCATGAAGCTATTTGAGGGACGGGGGTCAGGACTTGATGTACTTGGTCTCATGGCTCAAGAAGGTCGCCCACTCACCCCACGCTCCGTATCATCCCTCTCACAGGGCAAACCCCCACGGACCTCCAGTGACGGACAAGTAGTCGCGATTCGTTGGGGGAACCTGGAGACGACGTCAGGACCATGCGGAACCAACGAGGATGAAGCAAAACCCTTCTGAACAGCGCCCAAATTGGGTATTGCTTCGCGGAATTTTGGCTATATCAACCTCTGATGAAGCCTCCTGAGGCTGACCTGGAGATCAAGAAGCCCTTGGCGAAGCCAAGTCAGCGGCTCATGGGGGAGACCTCCCCAATCGCAGCGGTGGTCCAACTTTTTTTCGTTGAGGAGTCGATCTTCGGGGAGGGTTCCATGTAGGTTCCATGTGGTTCCACATGCTCTGCAAAGCTACTGTGCTGTACACTGTACTAGTACCATCCCTCAATCCATCAATTCCCTTCCTCGACTCCCGAAGAACCCTGCTGTCTTCGTCATGTCGGAAGTCTGCACGCAGCAGGCGGGTTCAATTCTGGGGCTTGATGGTGGAGGGATTGCTCCGTCCCACCAGTCAAAGATGTGCTCGGATTTTCACCTCTTAACTTCTTACCTATGTGACTAAGGCACATGTTGGAATACATGTCGTGCAATTGCTTCCTGTATTTATTTGGTCATCCAGTTTCTTCACAAATATTCAATCAGCTGGCAGAACACAGCAGCCTGGATAAAGGATATCCACAACAAGTTCCAAGCAGCATGGTGTTTCTTACGCACAACCTGAGGTGCTGACAAGAACAAGAACGTTCATCAGTCTAGCTTGTCTGGCATGGGCATCGGACTCAGCTCTTCGTTGTTGAGATTTCGGTCAGACTTCCCAACTCTATGACTTGCCAGTTGGATTTTGTCACATGCAAAAGGTGAGTGACTGGGGTCCAGATGAGACCTCCAAAAGTGATTCATTTTGGAGTGCCAGCCAGTGCCGTTTCAACTCATTTTGAGGGGATTGGATTGATCGTCGCTGCTGAGGTTCGATGTTGGCTCCCCAACAGCTTAGCCGCTAAGCCGACCCAACATTGCAGGAATATACCAAGCTGTGTATCTTAGAGATGCCAATATAGGTTCTGATGCCTGGGTTCAATATCTTAGCCTCTCTATATTGGTCTTTTTGTAACCTAGGGTCTATTTGATCTTCCCCGCCCATGGTGTTAGCCTTGTCGATCCTTCTGAGCCCCCCTTGTCACAGTCACTCCCGCGGGCTTTCGCGCGCGGGAACCCCATGGATCGTCGTCGCGCAGGGCTCAAGCTGGTGCTGCCCGAGGGCACACAGAGGCAGGTCCTCAAAGGCGAGGAACTCGGACGCTGAGAATGGGCTGGAGAAGATCTCCCCATATTCATGGGTGTGTATTGAAAAGAAGACACCCTGTCGCTGGCTGGGGAGACTTGTCGTCTTAGGTCTCCCTATTTGAACAATTTTGAACACACACCCCTATTACACACAGATCCACTCTCACTCCGTCTAAGAACGACCCGGCGTAGTGAGGACCTCTTAGAAACGGCTCGGAGCTCACCAATCGATGGTGGCTCATGCATCTCATCGATCTCATGGTGCGTCAAAAGCGAACCTCCCAGGTCAGAGGCGAAGTGATCCATCTGATTAGTCCATTTGCATGCGAAGAGCTAAGCTATATATACAAGACCAAACATGACGAAACAATGCAGGGTGAGCCAACATACAAAGCAAGGGGGCAGAGACGGGCAGAGATGAGCAGAGTGACTTTGTGGAGACCCTTGCCGACAACAGATACCTCAGGTAGTCACCAGTAGTTTGGGGCGAGTGGGTTGTGTTTGCATGTATGGCCTGGTTTTGCTGAAGATGATTTGTGATGTTCCCTATGGTTAAATCATAATCCCCTTCTGGGGAATGTTTTTTTTTTTCTATTCTTTTCCAGGTTCCTTAAGCAAATCTAAGATTGGATTTGATGTTGTTTTGAATAAAACAATGACAAGTCGTTCGTTTGTGCTTCACGTGGCTGGATGTCAACACAGCAGGTGGTGGTTTAGAGGCTTGAAGGTTGAATTGTTCATGATCTTCGGACTTGTCGATGGGATTATGGAACCAACATCACCATCCTTTTACTCAAGTTTAAAAACATCAACATCAAGACTGGAACCTTTGATTTTGTTTGATCACACATACTTGTATGTGACATGTATGTGTTACGTTATGTTACGTTGAAAGATGTTGAAACACTAGAATCACTAGAACACCCCTTTGGAGCCTCGAAGCAGCCCAATCGATGTGCCAGTCGCACCTGTCGATCGTTCGCCCGAGTCCAGGATATGAGCGGGTGGATGTGCCTGCTGTGGGGGGCACCAAGGTTGACACACGCAAAATACGTTGGTTTAACATGCTGAAGCCGAAGCGAATGGCCAGTGGATTCTCGTTGGTTTGCTTTACCAACTGATACACAACTGATGCATTTCGCGTAGTTCCACAACCGAAGAAGTTTGAATGGACTAGTCTGACACCAACCCTGAAGTTGTTCACATGTGTTGTTGCGGTTTTGCCCGTGTACATCGCAGGGCTTCTGGGATCGCATCTGAAGGCAGTCGATCCTCTGGAGGGGTCCGGACCCGAAGCAATCCCTGAGGGACTAAGGAGTGTGAACGGAGGGTTTGGGTATGTGATCAAATCCGTGAAGATCCACCCGCCATCCCCGCCATCGCCATCCCCTTGAGCCATGAGGCTCTCCGGATCGATGAAGTTGGAACGCTGAGGCTCCGCCTTTTGATCCAGAGAAAGGCAAGGTGAACTATGTGCAGATCAAGGAGCTGCGGGAAAGCAGCGAACGGAAGTGCTGCTAGGTTTGCTTTCACTCATCATGTGTGGATGGGGTCCGCCCCCGCAGAACCGAAGACCGTGCCGTTCAGGTGGTGCACTCCACGTCACCATGCCCATCTAGGCTCCTATATCCTCAGGTTCGGTGGTTAGACCCCCTTGGCACCTACCCGAACCACCGAACCTCAGGAGGTGGGCCAGGAGCCCTAGGGATGATGATTTGAGGGAGTGTAGACATCATGTGTCTTCAAGAGAGCATCCTGTTGTACTGCGTAGATGTAGACGCTTGGATTGATAACCCCCCGATTTGCATGGTAAAACCTTATCAATGGGTGGTTTTATCAATCAAGCCTGAAAGCTAGCGAATTAGTTCCACGAAAACTCAGTGAAGTGAAGATGCTAGGCCATTATCTGGTACCGATGCTTGTGGGACATGATCTGAAATCAAGAGATGACGTGGGCAATGTCATCAAGTTGCAAACTGGACAAAAGCAGCTTGTTTATCCGGCTGACCATCCAGAGTTTCCAAATGTGCCAGTGATGATTCCTACCCTTGGCAGCACGAGACTTGCTCTGTGCATGGCATGGCCATTGACCCGAAGCACAGATGCCAAAGCAACAAGCCCCGTGCTGTGTCAATATTACTTGAAGGCGCCTATTTCGGTGCGACAGCAGGTGTCCGTGAGGCGGTGTTGGCATCGCTGCAAGCAAACATTTCGGCTGGAATAAGGGTGGATGAATTGCAAGTGCAGTTGGCAGGGCTAATATATGGGCCGAATGAACAAGAGGATGAAACCTATGCTCATCTGTTGACGGATGCGACCATGACATTTGCCAAGCATCCAAGTCCAGAGGCGTACATGCGGCTCTTTCATCCAACATTATCAGTAGAAGGGCTCAAATTCCGTCGCGATTTCCGTGAGAACTCATTGTTGAGTGGAGAACTCAACGAAAGTGCTCACCAAGCTGGACTTCCAGCACCAAAGAGATCGCATACTGGATCCACTGTGGTCGCAGAGACGACAGTGGAAATTGACGCAGATTTGTTTCATTCTGCTGGAGTAAAGGATGAAGAACAGGTTGAGCAACTTGCTGATGTGACGCGCGGTGCACCAAAGCACAAGAGACGCAAGACTGCTTTGTCAAAGGATTCGGCAGAGAAAGTTGATGCGGCACTCTTGCTTGGTGTTGCCTCTGGGAACAAGCCGTCGAAAACGTCCGCACTGACCAAGCAGCGCAAGAAGAAGGCCGATAAAAAAGGCCAAAGCAGTGAAGTCAAAACAGGAGAGAAAATAGGACCTGGTTTTTCGGCTCTGCCTATGCTTGATGACAAAGTGCTTCCTGAGATTTTGTCAATACGTGAAGCCAAAAAGGCTCTTCATTTGAACTACCTTTGTGCCCAGAAGCAATTGGACATCATGATTTGCAATGCCAGACGCGACGAGCTCAGAAATTACACCAAGGTGGATGCCTACACTGAACGGTGCTTGAGAGATCAGCAAGTCCAGACAGACATGTGGAACAGTTTGGATTTGGACCTTGAGCCAGATGATCCAGACGACCGTGGCATGTCAGTTGAGGATTTGAAAGTGAAGATCCGATGCATTTACAAAAAAGACTGTTGACAAGGCTGCTGCGAGGAAGGAGCACCAAGAAGGACAGGAAAAGAAGGAAGGCAAACACCGTGATGCTTTGCTGACCAACATTTTGAACAGAACGCCTGAAGAGCACTTTCAGCGTGCAGTTGAGTCGCAGGTTGTTGCCACACTGAGGAACATGAAGTCCAAAGGCCGTGGAGTCAGCAGTGCGGATGTCATCGATCGGCAACGTGCCATTGACCCCAGAGCAGTCTGCGTGGACGTTCTGCAGGGCAAGACTGTAGATCAGAGCGCGCTGTTTTTGAAGAGCTCTGAGTCAAAAAAACGTACAAGCCCCCTCCTCCATGAATGCTGGAGGGGGCAAAGGTCAACCAGCCAAGAGCAAAGGCAAGACAGATGTTGGCACAGGCAAAGCAAAGCACCAGCTCAAAGGTGCGAAGTCAAAGGGGAAAGGCAAGAGCCTACCCCAAGGCTCCTCGCCCGACCAAAGAGGAAAGGGCAAGGATAAAGGCAAAGGGAGGAGCGAAGAGCAGACCAACAGCTACGGGAAAGGCAAGGGAGAGTTTCCAGCAACCTCCAGGTGGTGGCAAAGGCTCGCGTCATGGAGGCAAAAGTGCAGGAAGTTAAAGAGATCATCTGCAGACCAAGGGAGAGCCAGAGAAACACAGTGGTTCTTGTCTTCAACACGAGGCTTGAATTTTTCCTCCTGGTCTTCTCGGTCTGGCTCATTCCTTGTCGGCATGTCCCTAAGGGACTAGTTGTTCCGTGGCCTATTGAATTCGTGGTTTCTGCCTTTCATAAGAAACACCGGTTTGTGGAAAGCAAGGCTCCCACTCTGAAGGAGATTGGAGGTGCGCTCAAAAAGTGGCAAGTAGTTTCACATGGTGGCATGCCTTTTCACATGGTTTTATTGAAAATACTGTCAGTGATTCGGTTTTTCTGAAATCAAAGAAACAGCGAGGGAGGATTGCGTGTCCAGTGCAGCTTCCTGAAAGTGTCACCACCCAAATGCGCTCGGTGTGCAGTGCTGTTTTCGAATGTTGCCGGAGGTCTAGAAGCAGATGTGTCTCTTCAAGCTTACGGCAGAAACTCCCCAGCATTGTTAGGTTGGGCTTTCAACTGCTCAGACAATCACAGTGGGCAGTGGGTCCGACAGACAAAGATGGTGGGTTTGCGTTGGTCAGCCGTGACTCTTTTTGCAAGGCGAGACAAAGGGTTTTGGAACCGTCTGTCTATGATATGAGTTACATGCATGAGGGTAAAGCTGCTTATATATGCAATCCTTATGCTGGGGCGTGCAGGTTTGTTGCAAATGAATACATTGATGACAATATGTCTCAAGCGCTGCTGCATGATGCAAAAGTGTTTGGGCTGGATGGTATTTTTGCAGAGTGCAGAGCACAGTGAAAACGCACAAGCCTGATGGGGCTGTCACACTTCGCTCCCTGCACACCTCCGTGAACCACCCATTGAACCCGGGCATGGGTGCGCTACATTTTGTCACGACAGCTCAAGAACTTGCAACACCTGCTGCGAAACACAGAACAATTGATTGGCCAGCTTCAATCAGTTTGCATCCCACCTTCTGCAGTATTGGTCAAGTTCGACATCCGCGAGTTTTCCTGTCCGGAAACCACCAAGACCTGTCCAATCTCTGTGCGGATTTTGTTGTCTTAGGTGATTCTGCGTGGGTGAAGCCATGCTTTCGTGAAATGCTGTACACAATACTGGATGCGCAATATGTCGTTGACAAGTTGCGCTGCCAATCCAAGTGCTGGAAGGTAGTGAAAGGATCTGGTATGGGCCTCACGTGTTCTGCAGAGGTTAGCAATGCTGCTTTCTACATGCTGACTGAGAGAAATCTTCTGCTAGAGCCCGACATTCGGGCGGATTATGGCATCTTGTTTTACGGGAGATTTCATGATGATGGCCTTTTGATCTTGAACTGCCCCCAGGAGTCACGAATGGAGCTTTTCAGACTTATGAGCGTGAGATCCAAATTCTTTGAGCTGAAAATTGAGGAGGTGAGTCTTTCTGGCCTCAATATGTTGGACATTTACGTTCACAAAGGCCGTGGTTTGCTTAGCTCCGGATGTCTAGATTTTACACATTTCCAGAAGGTCACTTCCATTTGGCGACCGCTTGGCATTGACAGTGTGCACCCAAGGTATATGTTCACTTGTCATGGCCTTCTGCCATGATCCGAGTAGTGATCTTTCGGCATTGCTCCACACCGAGTTCTGCAGAAAAAGCAGTGGCGGACTTCAAGATGCGTCTGTCCTTGGCGGGAATTCAAGTGCCGGAGTTCTCCCAAGCCAAAGCAAAACAAAAGCTGAAGCGAGGTGTGTCTTGGTTGGTTCTACCTTTCAGGCATGCTTGGCAAAGGGCTTCGATTCAGCGCGCAAACAATGATACGGCTCACGCGATGTTGGGAGAGGTGAGAGTGTCATGGAGGCTTGCGCAATCAGCCGCAATCACCGTGGCTCATCGCGTTCAGGAAGTGGACCCACCTAACCAGCTGATGAGTTGAATTTGTCTTTGGAGGTTGGAGGGGATGGACGGCGGAATATGCTCATATTCATACCTACATCAGGTAGCATTGGCCCAGACCGCTTAGCAACCGAGGGCACATTCATGCTTGCCAGTGCAGGAGGGCCAAAAAGTAGAGTTTTGTTCCTCAGTGCTGCCATAGTGATTTCCTGTGATGTCCTATATTGTCAGGTTCGGTGGTAGACCCCCTTGGCACCTACCCGAACCACCGAACCTCAGGAGGTGGGCCAGGAGCCCTAGGGATGATGATTTGAGGGAGTGTAGACATCATGTCTTCAAGAGAGCATCATATTGTACTGCATAGGTGTAGACGCTTGGATTGATAACCTCCCCCGATTTGGATGGTATAACCTTATCAATGGGTGGTTTTATCAATCAAGAGTCCACAGTACCGCACTGATTTGTACGGAAGATCTTGTTGGTTCCATGTTCTTTTGGGAGCCAGCGATGTGAATTTCAGATCGTGATATGAAGTGTGTACCGGAAGAACGGCAATAGACCCAAACCCATTGGCCCGTGGGTCTCCCCACGAAAACACACACCCATACATGAAATGTGAAGAGATACTGTATCCCAAGACCCTCCAGACCTGAGGTTGCCTCTCAAACAAATACATCCGTCCCTATCACCTGAACTGCCCTCTATTTGACCCACCAACCACCCCGAAGTCTGCTCCAACGTCCTCTCAAAATAGGGATCATGTTTGGGTTCCAATGCATCCTCATAGCCATTATAGATTTATTCATCAGCATCTTCCTGATCGTTCTAGACCGTCCTTTGTACCATCCCTAAAACTCCTGTCCCGTATCCTCAGAAGGTGGTTAGACCACGTTCGAACCCACCCCGTGTTACACATCCCCCAAGCCCCTAGCCCACCGAACCGTGTTTCGGTTTCAGTAGGCCAGACATGGCCAGACGGCCCCAGAGAGGGTCTTAAGACTCATTTGGCTGACCATGCGTCCCCCATGTGACACTGTTTGAAACAAGAATCCATGTCCAGTTTGCACTTGCCTAGGTGATTTTTTCACGCGATGCCGATCGGCATCCGCTTTGTGAACCAACTGGCCAGGTACCCTGCATGGTGACCTTCGCCGCCTGGTCGCCCAAACCAGTCCGTCCCCGACTTGACCGGTCGAGTCATCCACAACGGCCGGTCGAGTCCACCGCTCCATCCGTTTTGTTTTTCTGTTCTGTTCTGCTCCTCACAGGATGGTTACTCAAATGAGGTGTGTGTGTGTGTGTGTGTGTTTCATGTTTTTTAAACATCAACCATATCTTGGAAAGAGTGAAATATGATGGGAGTGTTTGCTTCTGGAAAGTGTCTCAGCTCTTTCTTCTCTTCCCATGCAGAACCTCCGAAACTTCCGCCCGCTGCTCCGGCCTTCGCAGGAGCTACCGCAATGGGCACAAGTGGCCTTCAAGGGCACCGAACAGCTGGGAGACCACGGGGTGTTTCACGCGGGAGAACCAAAGGGCTGACGATGTTTTAAACATGTTTAATCCCTCAGCAGGAGATCCTAAGGACTGGCAGGAAGAGGGTCCTTTTGACGGTGTTTTTGTTTGTTGTTTTCATTATATGCCACAATGAATATTCATAAACATCAGCTGGTCAAACAGTTCAATATGTTTCCATTTGTCGAAAGTCCACTGAAAACCAACACGCACAACAGGCGCATGTTCATGTAGGTTTGTGTTCAGTTTTTTTTAATTGAGTTGTTTGTGGATGAACTGGATGAAGTCATGTGTCAACCCAAACGGACTTGTGCGAATCCGTTTGACTTGTTTCGTTTTTTGGGTGCTTCAAACCTGTTAAGTTATTATGTGAATCGATGTGCATCCGATGTTGTGACTCCATCAACGCCCTCAAGTGGCCTCCCCGCTATTCTCTCCACATGAGGTTTTGGCGCATCTTGGTGGTTCCTGTCCTAGGCTGAATACCATCCAATCCATCGTCTTCAACGCTGCCTTTGGACGCTCGTCCGGAAGCCCAGCACCCGTGATCCGCCAGGGTTGGCATGGGTCACGACGGTCACACATGGGTTGCACCAGGGGGTTTGGGGGGACGTGTTTTTCAGCGTCCACGGACCTCCACAGACCGACTGGATGTGGAGGAGGTCCGTGGGGAACGCCTTTTTGAAGTTACTGGCAAAGAAACTCAAAGAAACATACTTGCACCAATGACCTCCATATCCTCCAATCAACCCGACTGAGGTCCCTAATAACGTTAGGCCTCCACCCTGGACCCCTAATAACTCCTTTCCACGTGTTTGTTGTTTTTTTCACCGCTCCAGGAGCAATCTTCAATCTTTCTGGGGCGGCATATCTTCCAGTGCCATGGATGGTCTAGGTTCTACAAGAACCTGACCCGGGGGCCGGTGGTCCAACTTGAAGGGCCCAGAGGTCCAGCTTTGAAGCTGTGAAAGATTCGCAGCCAGCTCAGGCAGAACCTGCTGATTTGTGCACCGACAGGCGCCTCCAACTGGAAAGGGTTCTCTTGGGACATCAGACCCTGCCAGGGAGTCACACCAGATCTCATCATGAATCATATCTCATCCAAGGACACCAGAGGCAATCCAGAAACCCTTTTGCGGCGTCTTTGGGACCACGAAAGTCAAAGAAGAACGATCACCAGAGGCAATCATGAAGCAGGTCAGACAACGTGTTTTTTCTCCATGACCCTTAGGGCACAGCGCCATGTGTAGATGTTGCTTGACAAGAGCTATGCCATGATTGAAATCGTCTACGAATGGACCAATGGCTATGCCATGCGACCCGTTTGCATCGACCACCGACCCGTTTGATGGATCGGAACAGTCCAAGGGGCCCGGTCCATCGGTCCGGTTTCAAGCGTGAGTCCGTGGGTTCACCAGAGAAAAGCCATGAAGAACACCTATGTAACATCAGTTCTTCATTTAGAGAAAAGCCATGAGAAAAGCCAGAAATCCTGATTTTAAAGGATCCTCAGTTCTTAGATGTCTGGCCCCGAAGCATTTCTTAGGTGTGCGATTTCCCATGACACGATCCATTTGCATGGTGCCCTTTCCACGCTCACCCGCCAGGAGCCGGGAAGACAAACATCGCAGTGCTCACCATCTTGCGGCTCATCGGGCAGCATATGGATGCTGCAGGCAAAGCAGAGATGCTGCAGGAGTTGACTCGCCCTAAGGCTCCAATCAGATCCTCAAAAAGTTGGAGTTAGACCCCGCTGACACCCACCTCAACCACCGAAAACGGAGGTAGGCCAGGCCCAGTTGGGGTTCTGCCACCCAAGCGGCTACCCACACGATGTACAGAATCACAACTTCAAGATCTGGGGATTTGGAAGCTAGTGGCAGCCTGTTTCTCTAACCAAAAACCAAGCGGCCGGTGTCAACCCTTCAGATGAGTTTCTGTGTGTGTGTGTGTTTGTTGTTGTTTTCCGTTGAAACCCAGTTTGGCCGATGTCGTGCATCGTTCTGAGCGAATTATTGCGAGCTCACTTCGCGAGGTACGAGGTAGAATAATTTCAAAACAAAATTATGCGAGGTAAGTCCAGCACCAGGATTCTTGACGTCTCAGGCCCTAGCCAGGCCTACTGGGTAAGGAACCTGTGCTGAGCAGCTCAAATAGGCAAGCCCCAAGAAACAATTCTATTTTGGCGAAATAGGATTTCATGATTGGGGATTGGTTTGCAGCCTTGTTGATGTTGTCTTAAGCCCTAGCCAGCCCCACTAGGTCAGGAAACTGTGCTGAACAGCTCAAATAGGCAAGCCCCATAAAACAATCCTATTTTGGCGAAATAGGGTTTCACGACTGTGGATTGGTGTGCAGCCTTATTGATGCTGTCTTAATCCCTAGCCAGCCCCACTAGGTCAGGAAACTGTGCTGAGCAGCTCAAGTAGGCAAGCCCCATGAAAAAGCCCTATTTCGGCGAAATAGGGTTTCACGACTGTGGTTGGTTTCCACCCTTGTCGATGTTGTCTCGGGCCCTAGCCAGCCCCACTAGGTATGGAAACTGTGCTGAGCAGCTCAAATAGGCAAGCCCCATGAAAAAGCCCTATTTTGGCGAAATAGGGCTTTACGACTGTGCATTGGTGTGCAGCCTTATTGATGCTGTCTTAATCCCTAGCCAGGTCAGGAAACTGTGCTGAGCAGCTCAAGTAGGCAAGCCCCATGAAAAAGCCCTATTTCGGCGAAATAGGGCTTCACGACTGTGGTTGGTTTCCACCCTTGTTGATGTTGTCTCGGGCCCTAGCCAGCCCCACTAGGTATGGAAACTGTGCTGAGCAGCTCAAATAGGCAAGCCCCATGAAAAAGCCTTACTTTTGCGAAATAGGGTTTCACGATTGTGGATCAGTCGGTAAGGAAACGCCCTTCTCACTTAAGCACTCCCGACCCGCGCGCAACGTACACGCGCGCGCGCGCGCACGCAACGTGGGAAAAGAGAAAAAGTTTCCAGAGGGTGGGGTCGAGCCTGAGCCTCATGCTACGACGGTCGCGGTGTTTCCAACTAGGCCGCTCGCACGTCGATTTATTAATTTGGGTCCCTAGTTCCAAACCTTAAAACAAACCCTTTTGGGCAAAAATTGGGATTCACAACGGTTGATTGGTTCGCCGCCGTTTTGGCCTGGCTTCCCAACCTACCAAGGCCTAGTAAGTAAAGATCATGAACCGCACAGCTCTAAAAGGCAAGCCCCCTGAAACGACCCTATTTCGGCGAAATAGGGCTTCACGACTGTGGATTGGTTTGCAACCTTCTTGCTGCTGTCTCGGGCCCTAGCCATCCCCACTAGGCATGGAAACTGCGCTGAGCAGCTCAAATAGGCAAGCCCCATGAAACGACCCTATCTCGGCGAAATAGGGCTTCACGACTGTGGATTGGTTTGCAGCCTTGTTGATGTTGTCTCGGGCCCTAGCCAGCCCTACTAGGCATGGAAACTGTATTGAGCAGCTCAAACAGGCAAGCCCCATGAGACAACCCTATTTCGGCGAAATAGGGTTTCACGGCTGTGGATTGGTTTGCAGCCTTGTTGATGTTGTCTCGGGCCCTAGCCAGCCCCACTAGGCATGGA